AAATCTGCCGAAGTTTCCCTTTAATACTGCATATTCAGTGATAGAATGATAGTTCATGCTTCCTTTCTGAGAGTGAGCAATATCAATCTCATGTCTCAGTGTTGAGTAAAAAATTGGAGTCTCGTGGTTAGCTTAGCTTAGCATAAAGACTGGTGACAGACAGAATCAGGTAGCCTGGCTCTGTCCAGAGTGAAAAAACATGCCTACCAGCACCTCTAAAGCTCATTGATTAACATGCTGTCTCTGGTCTAGGCTACAGTAACAGCTTTGTCTCTGCTCTGGCTGTAGGTGATGCTGCAGAAGACAACCTGATGTCCACCCGCCAGCCTACTGACCGCCACTCCACGCTGCCCCTGGCAAATACACATGCACAGTCCCAGCCGCACATACACACACACTCCCCAACACACTACCCCACATACCCTGGACAGTGACACACACACACACAGAAGAAGACATGGACGCTGAATAAGATGCAGACACAAACACACACATACCTACAATGCATGCAGGCACACACAATTCACTGAGAGAAACACACACTCTCCCTCCTTATATGAGTTTTACAGCCCAACGTTACACCTCATGGAAGATGTTTTAGGTGGGACTAACACTGGCCGACTGACCATCCTGAATGCAGAAAGCAGGAAGTGACATTCCACAGAAGACTGCAAGGAGGTTGGGCTTCCTTACATGACTGCAGCTCCCACAATTCCACAATAAATGGGGGATATTTGACGTTGTTCCGCACTGAGGCCGAGAACCTCTGCCTGGAAGAATGGCATTGCCCACTGATTGAAGTAAGGACTAAAGGCTCTCAGTATGCTTTAAACCAGCTAGTTTGTATTATGTTGTCCAACCAGGTCTAAAGGCATCATAAGTGGTTCTACCTGTGCCACTCTGGAGAGTGGGGTGAAAAACCGTAAAGAGCAGTTTGCCAGGAGTTTTAAACAGAATTGTTACTACAGTTTTTTATTGAAATAATGACTAAAATAGTAAATCTCTGTAGATACAGCTGGTAGCATGTTACTTTGCAATGTGCTTCTCACTCACCTCACTCACAAGACACCTGTCCAGTTCTCTACTGGTTCTCCTCACACCACAACTCAATTTGTCACTGCTGGCTGAATACATATCAGTGTAAGGCAGAAACCTTGTATATCCAAAACCATTACTTTTCAGGAAATTACATTTTTTTTTTGTTTTGAACTCTTTGTCAAATGTTTGTATTGTTGTTGGTTTTAATACTTTCCATTGGTTAAATATATGTAAAACCCACAGACAGTAAAGAGTGACCAATGGCATTGATTTATGAAATATGGAAATATGAGGTGTCTGTCTGACAGCAATGATATAAATACGTATTTGCTACGTTATCATCCACAGTGCTGCAAAAATATTTGCCCCCTTCATGGTTTCTTATTTATTTGCATATTTGTCACACTTAAATGTTTCAGATTAAACAAATTTAATATTAGACAAAGATAACCCGGATAAATACAAAATGCAGTTTTTAAATGATGATTTCATTTATTAAGCTATCCAAACCATCATGGCCCTGTGTGAAAAAGTGATTGCCCCCTAAACCTAATAACTGGTTGGGCCACCCTTAGCAGCAACAACTGCAACCAAGCGTTTGCGATAACTAGCAATGAGTCTTTCACATTGCTGTGGAGGAATTTTGGCCCACTATTCTTTGCAGAAATGTTTTAATTCAGCCACATTGAAGGGTTTTCGAGCATGAACAGCCTGTTTAAGGTCATGCAACAGCATCTCAATCGGATTTAACCTTCATTTTGTTTTTCTTCAGCCATTCGGTGGTGGACTTGCTGGTGTGTTTAGGATCATTGTCCTGCTGCAGAAC